TCTGTGCAGAAGGCACTCGGGTTCGCCCGACATAAGATCTACTTTGCGATAAAGCTCGTCTAACAGCAAGCTTTGACAAATTAGACCCAGCTCTAAACCACGTCATTTCTAGTTTACCTAATCAAGAAAGTAAAACTGCAGCTGAAAGAACCACGCTTTTACGACCAAATCAAGCCCTTTGAACTGTTGCTATTCCATCCAGAAAACACCCTAATCAAACAAAAAGGAGACTGATTAAAGCATTTGAAAATCAAATCGGAGAAACAGATTAATTTCGTTGAACTACAAGAAATGTCATCATCATCAGCACACGTAGGATATAGAGCATCACTGACTGCACAAGCATACAAGAGTAGTGATAATCTTCACACAAACAATTTTTTTCCATAATTCCAACTCCAAAGAAAAAGGATCGCAAAAAATACACCCAGCCATGTGAAAAAAAATCAAAAAAAAAAAAGTGCAGAAAAACGAAGATTCTGTACACGAAAAGAATCATCTTTGGAAGTAAATAAATCAGAGACAACACAAGATCAAGAGCTCAAACAGCATAAAATACGAACAATTCATACATTAGATTCGTCAAGATCAAACACTCGTGATCATATGAATGAGCAGAAAAAGGGGGCGACGAACTTACATTCATGTTGAAAATGTATGCTGCGAAATGCGAATGTTGTAGAAGTGTAGAGATTTGAGGCTTATGTGAATTAGGTACTTGTCTCCAAACTCGGGGGTTGCCCTTTTCTCAAGACAAACATTGGGCGCTTTAAGGGCTTAGCCCATTAGTTTATGATAATATATTCTCGGTTGGGCCAATGATACCCTTAGGGCGAAATTTCATTATACTTAACTAAATAAAAATATTTGTAAAAATACCATGGTGTGATATTATATTACATCCCTATAAAATAGTGTGGAAATAATTGCCAATATGCTAGGATAAAGTTACCAAATCTGAAAAGCTATATTATGGGACCGTTTTTCACGACAAAAGAAAAGAATTAAAAACACACATGGAAAGTAAATCAATCCTAATATTAAGGAGGTTGTTCAGTAGAAATAGGAAAGCTAATGATTTTGAATTTCAAGCGACATGAACGTAAAACTCTTTAAAAATCTCATAATCTTGAAAAAAAAAATTTAACGAATCGGGTAAATTTTTTTTGTTCTTGTCGATCTTTTTGATATTGTCGATATATTTTTTGTTTATTTTTTTAATTTGTCTTGATTTATTATGTATATTGTTTGTATATATACAGTATATAAAAACAAGTTGAAAATCGTACTCATGTACATATACGTAAAATATATGGTCGACCTTAACATATACTAAAAAACAGTATATTTGTCGGCAACATATACGTAAGATATACTCATTGTATACCGTTGACATAAAAGAAATACACAACAAAGTATGTTGATTGTGATGGTTTTTATAAACTTTATAGAGTATATTTGTGGTACATATGTTGTATATATGTAGTTCTTCCATGACCAATGACCGAATCAATCTTATCATGTGCTTTCTTCGTCTTGGAATGATGCTACATTAGTCGGACCAAAAAAAAAAATACTAAAAATATGTTGTATATAGTATATACCAACAACATATACCCGCAACATATACAGAATAGTTGGAAGGATGCTACATTACTCGGACGAAAACATATACTGAAAATATACAGTATATACCCGTAACATATACAGAATAGAACTATCTATCAACGAATCAAGCACACCAAATTCTTGAGAATCCAAAACACAGTCAGATCACAAAAGAAAAATAAATATCCCACCTACTAGAAGAAGAAGAAGAAGAAGAAGAAGAAGAAGAAGAAGAAGAAGAAGAAGAAGAAGAAGAAGAAGAAGAAGAGAGAGAGAGAATCGTGATTAGATTTTTGAGAAGTTGATAAGTTTTTCATTAATTACTCTAAAAATTGATTATATATGTAAATTCATTATTTTATTGGCATTCTGGTAGTTTTGCAAATAAAAATGGCTAAAAATGGCTCAACCAGTTGAATTACTATTATTTGAGATTTGGTTTCTTTTATGTAATAAAAATTTATAAATGTCGTACATAGTGCAAATTTCTCTACCCTTAGATGACCATATTTGTTGGCCAATTTACAGGCTTGCTAAGTAAATATGAAAATATTGCACATCCTCCTTTATATAATTTCAAAACGTGCAGAGCTTAAATGACTGACTCGCACGTTTCGGGATCTTACTTGGCAACATTTCATGCTTTGACTTTCTGCTTGGATAAAATTTAATTTAATTATATTACCAAAGAAATAGGCTCGGACATACTATTATTATATGTGGTGTCTACAATACAATTTATGATAATTGCACCCACAATGTTTTGTGTCTCTTAGAAAAAAATCACATGTCATGTAGGAAATAGACCTAGTCTATAAAAAGGTGTTTCACAATGCAATTAAAAGTTGACTTAGTCTACCTTATGTGGCAATAA